ATTTTGTTTTGGGTGGGAGGTCACAAGGGAAGAGAGTGGAAATGAGAGAAAGGCGAGATGAGTGGGATAGGGATACATGACGTGAAATCCACAAAACAAAATCAATAAAAAATGAAATCTAAAAAGAATATACATCTAAAGAAAAATGTCCTATCATGGGTTGTCTTACCTCTCAAAACCTTAGGTATTAACATCTCAAGTATTATATTTAGAAATACTGAGTTTTTAAGTTAATGTCATATAGAAGTTAGATACCAATATTTTATCATATACCACTGCACATGGAATTGTAACAGAGTCACAGTATTTCAGAGTTGAAGAATCCAACTCTTATTTTATAGGCAAGGAATTCAAGACTTTGGCAGGCTAACTTACCTGCTCCAAATGGCTGACTTCAATTAAAGCAGAACTGGGTAGGGAAGCTACAGTCTGCCAGCCTCTGCTATACTCTGTGCTTAGCATGATCTGCATGTGAGTAAATCAGGCTTTCCCTCACCTCTTTAACCATAAGTCCTACAAAACACAAGTGGATCATGGATGTTGCACAGGAGACAGATGGCCAGCTGCTCTAGCTGTTAAGAAGCCTTGGCTGGCAAACTGACTTTGATTTATAGACAACTTATTGTGCGATTATTTTTAGATGAATGCTTTACTTCTCTGTTTGGAAACATTTGTAGAAAGTCATAATTTTAAAAAATGACTGCTGGGTATATTCAATTACTGCATTTCACAAATTTTTTAAATGGAGAAATTTAGTAGGTACATTCTGTATTGTGAGTGTGTATTTGCCTGATCAACTATAACAGCTCTAATAGAACCATTTACAGCTCATTGAGGAAATAAAAGTGCTTCCATAAAGATTCACATGACACCTAGCTCTTATTTTCAGGTAACCAATTTCTTTTTTAAAAAATTGCCCAAATTTAGAGTTATGTGAGACAACCAGAACATCTAAGCAGTTTATGAAGAAGTTTAAACTGCCACAGGCTTCCCAGACTTTGGGTGTAAGATCAGATAATGACATTAACTCTTACTGATCTCTGCTACAAAGTTATTTTACTATCCTTACCTCTTTGTTACATGAAAAAAGCATTTCCATAGGTTTTTCCAGATATTATTTGCAACAAGAAAAATACTAAATATTTAACTGTTACTTAAACATCAAATTCTCAGATCAAACTTTCAGTAGCAATTGTGCTGGCTTTTTTTTAAAGCTAAGTAACTTAAAATTAAATTTTATCCCATTTCATGAAATAAACATATTTTCTAAGAGTACAGCAAGTTATTCTAGTAGCAGAAGCAGCCATTTGTTTTCATTTATACACCCATAAGACTGACTGCTGGCTAGACGTCTTTGAGGAATAAAGCTCTTTAACAAAATTTGTATTCTCTCTTCTTTTACCTCCTCCTCCTCTCTCTCTCTCCTTCCTTCTTCCCTCTTCCTTCCCTCACTCACCCTTTACCTCTTTTCTTCCCATCATCCCTCCCTTGTTCTCCAAGACAGTTTGGTTATTTTGTGTTAAGAACATAATGTCTGAAGAAAATGTGCAGAAGCTGAGCCTGATTTAAAATAGTACAGAAATACTTGACACCACCGTTCAAGGTTATCTAGTCAAAACACTCTACTAGATGAAAGGGTGTTTTTACACACATGGAAAAATGGACACATAAAGAGAAGGGCAGCAACAGGCAAACCGGAGCCTTGCATAGAGTGCCAAGACCTGTAGCGTCTTCAGACTGCAGCGCTTGCTGGAGCTCTTCCCTGAAGGGCAGCCTTCTAGTTTGTTGGGTACTGGGCTGGTGGACTCACAGGAACAAAAGGGAGTCTTCAAGTGCAGTGTATTTAGGAAGCTGTGTGCGTCTTCAATACTGGCAACACAGGGCTCTTGGTCAGGTTGATGAAGTTGCTCTTCTGTAGTGTAGGACATCAAGAAGACCCTCAGGAAGATGCCCTCCCTTTCATATGTAGATTTCTTAGACCAGAACTTGAAGCATAAAGATACAAACTTAATTTAAGACAAAGACAAAAACAAGAACAGAAATCCCACCTAAATAGTATTACCATATGACACCCCCCTATGCTGTGCCCTTTCTGTGTATTTACCCAGAATATGAAGTCAATCTGTTGAAGGGATGTCTGTGGGCCATGTTGACTGTAGTGTTTTTACAAGTCGGGTTATGGAATCAGCCCAAGTGTCCACTAGCCAGTGAATAGACAAATTTTGGAGTATCTGCAGAATGCAATACTACCCAGACTTAATAAAGAAATTCTGTCACTTGTGACAGCAATGACAGAAGTGAAGAAGCCTATCTCAGGACAGACGCCTCATTTCTCCCTTCCATGTAAGAGGACTAAGCTGAGGATCTACCGAATTCATAGGAGCAGAGAGGAGAATGGTGATTGCCCTTGGGCTGGGGGTGGACTTCAGAGAGAACAACCAAAAGTTTCCAAGTCTTAGAACAGACAGCCCAAGTTTGATGAGTTTTGCTCTCTTCTACACTGGGGACTGAAGCTCACTGTTCTGTTAACAGAATAAAAGGGAAATGTTCTCAAACCAGAATGCTCAAATTCTTGATAAAATCACATTATATTAAAATTATGGTTTCACTTTGTGTGTCATATCAGTACACATTGCTGTAACTTATCAACATTGTAAAATACTAAAAGACTAAACATTTTTGAAGCTTAGGCCAACCGTATTGAAAACCATTGCCATAAGTAAGCAAAAGAAAGCAAGGAAGAGAATCAAGCCCCATTGCCCTTGGCTCCTTCAGTGTTCTCTCAACTCCTGGGTGTGCAGAGGAGAGTTAGGAGGTGGCTATACCACTTAGAGCTGCAAGCCTATTTGGGTAGTGAGGCCACCACCTCACACAGTAGGCTGGCACAAGTTCTGGAAGTGGTTCTGGTAACAGAAAGTCTAGGGTGTTGAGGCTGCCTGTGGAACATCCTGTGCCTGTGCTCACCCTGTGCCTGTGCTCACCCTGTGCCTGTGCTCACCCTGTGCCTGTGCTCACCCTCTGCCTGTGCTCACCCTGTGCCTGTGCTCACCCTGTGCCTGTGCTCACCCTGTGCCTGTGCTCACCCTGTGCCTGTGGTCACCCTCTGCCTGTGCTCACCCTCTGCCTGTGCTCACCCTCTGCTTGTGCTCACCCTCTGCCTCTGCTCACCCTGTGCCTCTGCTCACCCTGTGCCTCTGGTGCACTGGTTGCCACTGCTCATATTCTGAACTATGGTACACAGGCCTGGAATGATGGCTCTGAATGTGCCCTTAGCCCTGATGTCCAGGACTGATGCATGCATGCCTTTGGGTGTTCTTTGCCTTCCATGGGACTCAGTAAACCCTGTGCCTCATGGAGATAACTGAATGGCCACTGTAGGCACTTTTTTAAAAAAAAACTCCAGCATGAGAAAAGATGATTTCCATCAGCTATCTGCTTGCAGTGGAGTATCAAGAAATCAAAAGAACAGAGATCAAAGAAAATTGCTGAACTAGGTGCTAGATGCAGACATTGATTTTCTCCAGTTGTACTTTTAAAAAATCTACAAAAATGGTAACACATACAACAGTGGAATTTCTAATATGCTCCTAAAGCCAGCAGTGGTTTCCTCCTTGTTTCCACATGTAGAAATAGTTTTGTATAACATGACAGAGTGAAGCAGATCCTTATACCATATGTCATTTTATTATCAAAACTTAAAGAGAATCCATGAAAAAGCTGTTTTTAAAACTCTGTAAACTGGAATGTTTTTAGTGGGCACCCATAACTTGCCTTGTTGTCTCAACAACATTCAGTTGCTGAGAATCTGGAAAATTCTAGTTAAAGTTTGGTCATTATTTTCTTATTTGTGTAAATGTTTTCAAATAACGTATGCTTCCTGGCTAAGACTTCATTCACATTAAATATTAACTACTATTTACTGTTATTTTGTTTCTTATTGTCAAATAGTAGCATTATCAAATGTTAATTTTGTTTTCAAGTATTTTATGAGTGTGTGGCAGTTTTGAAGTTTGATTTTGGAGTCTAGCAATTCACATATGAGAAATTGATATCATAGTATAATCTCTATGTTTATACATGATTCTCAGACGATTAAAACAATCAAAACAGATGCTGGCATTGTTATTGAAGGTGTAACACAAGTTCTCACTAGACTTTATTCATAGTGTATTATTTTCTAGAAATCACTAGGATTCACTTATTTTTCTTTGTGTTAAACTTGCAAATTAAATCATTAAAAGTAATTTAGAAATGAACACACAGATCATTTACTTCCTAAGCAGTCCATTATAGCATATGATAAACTAATGGAACAAATTCTCCTAGTGTTAGTTTCTTTGTATGACCAAAGAATTGAAGCTAAACTGGAAAATGCCTAGTTGTATAGACTTTTTGATATAAGACTTGAAAAAGTTTTGTATAAAGTTCTATTGTTCCTCCATCATCCTGAAACACCTATGAAATAGGATATTGTGGGATATTTATACACTGTGTGAAGATATTTCTGTGATTGGTTTAATAAAGAGCTGAATGGCCACTAGCCAGCTGGGAAGAGGTTAGGTGGGACTTCTTGGGATAGAGAGGCCGCTGAGAAGAAGAGAGGCAGTAGACACAGTAAGACTCTGAAGAAGTCAGACATACAGTGCAGAGCATAGATAATTGAGCCATGTGGCAGACTGCAGATTAATAGAAACAGGTTAATTGGAGTTATTAGAGCTAGTTGGGGACAAGCCTAAGCTAAGGGCCAACCTTAGTAACTAATAATAAGTCTCTGTGTTGTTATTTGGGGCTAGTGATCCAAAGATAGTCCGACAAGAAAGCTCACTACAATGGGATGAGTTGATTCACTTACATTGAAAAATTGCTTCCTTAGTTTCAGATAGATTACTTAATAGCAAGCTCCATCCCGTTTTACATCTCAAGCATTACCTGCTTTCTCATTTGTGTTTGCATATTCTATTTAAGAGTTTAAAATTCTATGTGCTTCTTTCTACCCACAGACAGGATCCCGGGACCATTCCAACCTCTCCATCCCTTCAAGAGCTGCTCTCCCTGGGGACACAGTTGTGGACTTTCTTCCAATACAAGCGGAACTTGATACAACTTATCGTTTTTTAAAGGAGACATTCATAACTACAGCACCCCATTCTCTAATGTCATCTCAGTCCTCTCCAGTGGTACCTGCTAGTGTCAAAAGACCATCTCAGATTGGACTATGACTTTATGAAATAAAAAGCAGAGGAAGAGTTAATGGTATAATTAAAATTGTTTTGAAGGGGAATTTTCTTTTCAGTTGAGTTTTGTTTAATACAAGTGAGGGTGGGCTTTAAAAAATTGTGTGATATCTTGATGTGTGCAGGGATCTCTGTCTCCTTAAATAATGAAATAACCTACTTTTTTCTCCCTAAGTTTTATTTATTATCACAGTTGCTCATTTTTATGTAACATATTTTTAAATGTTAAAGAATGACACATTTTGGGTAATTTCCCTCGGACTTAAAAAAATCAATAAGCCATTTTAGTCTCTATCTATCAAAGTTGTTTCATACTTGTCTATTTTAAAGCAAGACTGCAATACTTTAATAGGATTGAGAGAGCTATTTGAAATGTATGCCAATGATTCCTGTCATTTCATGGCAGCCCTGCCATGGTTCACTGAGCCCCTCTTCTCTCTTGTCAGCTCGGCTGAAGACAAGCATTTAGTTGCAAACTTTAAGCAGGTTGTGCAAAACAGAAATGATGTGAGGGCTTCTCCTCCCACACAATAATGTCACTCCTGGTCAATGTGAGAAGGTCAGGTTGCTCCTTGTAAAGCTACATGATACCACTTGCCCATTTGAACAAGTTAAGTTAACTGCTGAATTTGGTCCCTGTAGGTACTGAAAACCTTGTCCTTTTATCAAGTCTGTATTTGATAGGAAGGAAGAGCAGCTCTGCCGGGAGGGTTTCCATGGACTGCTTAGGCACTTTATAAGGACAGTTCCCACGCCAGTGTAGCAGGTGATATATTTAAGTATAAGCTGAAAAACTTCAAGGTAACGGCCGTTTTGACCTTCAGAATAGACTCCTTTTTTTTTGTTTTTGTTGTTGGTAAGACCCAAGAGTGACGACCGTCTTTGATGCTGACAGAATTTAAAACAAGGCCATTGCCCTGCATTTTCTGCCTTGTAGCACACAAAAGTAAAATTGTATGTCAGGCCGAGATGTCGGGGAGCTGACAAGATGCCCCAGTGACATTTCAGCTAGAAAGAGCAAGTGTCTTGCAACCAAGTGGTCAAATATCAAATAATAGGTCAAGCAGGAAGGAGCTGAGTTCTAACCACAAAGAGGTTTCTGGTAACTTACTTGACAAGCTTTTGGGCGCTTTGTGGCTTGACAAAGTGATGTTCTGTTGGGTATCGCTAGACAGACTGTTCTTTATCGCCGTCAGAAGATCAGGCATTGACATTGATTAAACTCTTTAACCCTTAAAGGTTAACTCCTTGCAGTTTGCATCATGGTAAGTGAAGAACAAAAGAATACTTGTAATGTGCGTTTGTTTTTGTATTCATCATTTAACTCCCCAGTGACAGTAACTTCTAATGTGCACTGTAGTTTTTGGCAAAGAATTCTGATATAAAATCTGTATTTGATATTATCTTCCATTATAGAATTTTTCATTATGGACACATTAGAAAATAACAGTTTGTATTGTGAAACCTATATTGTGTTTTGTGATATTTGGCCTTGGGAAATAAAATCTGTACATTGTTTATTTTGCCATCCAGATCACCCCAATGATATATGCTGTCTGAGGTGACATGGCACCATTGCTGTCATACTGTGCCATACTATTTCTTAAAATACGGGGCCAGAATAATCAGCTTTGTATAAACCCCTAGAAAGCTTTGAGGAGTAAAATTCTCTTTTTAACCAAATTGCTCTTAATTCTTTTATTTTTCGGAACTCTCGGTGTGCTCTGATAAAGTTACCTGTGTGAAATTCAGCTGGTATACAGAACACAGAATGTGCTGTTGTTTTCATGAAGATGGTAGACTGATTTCTTCACATTTCAAGATACTTCCTTCTTCCATTCCTGCAATGATAGGGGTGTTCTGTATGGATGGTGACATATAAGCTTCTAGTTTACATGTTATCACTGAACTTTCAGTCCCCACACTAGGAGGTCATTGTTACTCTATGTAGCCCATGTGCCTTTGTGTGTGTGTGTGTGTGTGTGTGTGTGTGTGTATGTGTGTGTGTAGTCTACTTTCAGATCCTAGTAGTTTAAGACGAACGAGAAATGAGACCTTAGTAAGCCTAAAGTCTGCTTGCTTTAATTTCACAGTATTAATAGGAAAACTCAAAAAATAAAATTGTGTATCTGTGTGTGCTCTTACAGACAGATTATGCATAGAGAATTCTGATCTATAAACTAAAATAAAGATTATTAAATCAAGTGGAAGCATGTCACATTTGTAAGCAACTGGAAATAGCAGCCATAGGAGCCAAAGGATGGGCCTCCTGAGCGATCATTAGTATTCATCACCAAGTGCAGTGATATTTATACCATATGCTTTCCTCCCAGAAGTCAGACACAGCAGGAGGAGGAGATTTAATGACATGTCCTATGGAGATCTGAGGAACTTTAGACTGCTCTGAGCACCTCGGTGACCAATTGCTGCATATTTGAGATCTGTATCTCCATGGCAAGGACAGTTGCTCTTCAGCTTCTTCAGCTCTTTAGGCATGATGTATGGATGTGGCGTTTCTCAGGAGAGTGACTTCAAATGCTTTTGAAGGGAGGGGAGTTTTGCTTTACATTTCAGGATGTGGATTTTCTTACTAACTTTCTGTGATCTAGGAAAGTACCTGCGTGGTCTGGTACTATCAGGGGATGCTGAAAGCTATTGTTCTGAAGCCTAAACCACGTGGACTTAACAAGGGTTTGTCAGCATTTTAACATACGTGCTTTGGAATGACATAACACAATGGAAAAGTGAGATGTGCCAATTCAATGATAATTCATATAAGTAAGTTACCTTGTAAACAATAGAATGACCATTGCTTTATCTAATGTGTACCTCCTAGGAAAGCTAGCTAATCTATTTCTCAGTTCACTATTGGTGAATTTTTAATGCTACTTCCATCACCATTTCCAGTTACTTTATTTTCAGGGCTGAATCCATTCCAAACAGTGGTGGGTTGATCCTATCTCACTGCACAGGTTTTATAGACAAGTTTCCTAATGTAGCACTTGGAGGATAATTTTTATTCAGCAGCTATTTCAGCCATATAGAAAAACTCCAATGCTATGAAAACAAAAAACTGAAATCTATATCACTTCTTATTCATGCACAACAGAGTATCTAAGATGATAGCATTTTGCTACTTAGTAACAGAATCTAGCAGGGAGTAAATATGCCCAGGACTGTAATTCTAAATTGTCTTATCCAGTTATTAATATTTAAAAAATTATATTGTTGTTTAAAATCTAGACTCTCTCTCTCTCTCTCTCTCTCTCTCTCTCTGTGTGTGTGTGTGTGTGTGTGTGTCCTAGCTCTTGAGTGTGTGTACATGTGTATGGATATACATAATGAAGGGCATAGGAATGAAGGGACCAGCTGCCACTTTAGGCAGCCATGACAGTAACACGTGCTTGCCATGACCTTGCCTTGGTCACCAAGAGGTCAGATGCCTGCCTCGTGGCAAGGAACCAATCAGAAGTTAGCTGGTGGTGCTATGCTTTATGGCTCTGGGTGTGTTTTATGGACAAGTGCACAGAAATGATATGCAGAGCATAGCAACCGCCCTGGGAGGGCCTATGGGCCTTAACAACCAATTGGCCAATCAACAGGGCAAGCCCTCCAAGCCTGGAGGCACACCAATCCTGAGCCTGTGCGTACCCCTAAACACTCCCCTTATGCTGCCCTACAAGATCTCTGTGCAGCCGGTTCGAGCTGTCTTTGCTAGCCATCTGCCATGGCGGGTGAGTGAAAGACCCGAGCTAACATAGGGTTAGCTCGTTAAACGACAATAAAGCCTCATGCAGTTTGCAGCAAGTTTTCGAATCTGCCTGGTGATTGGGGTGACTGAAGTCCTGGGCTGGGACCCCAGAGGCCTGAGATTTCTGGGGGTCTAACAGGTAGACAGGAACTAGAAGACAGACTTCACGAGTTGGCAGTTATCCAAACAGGTCCAGGAGGGGAAAGTGGAGAATCCAGGGGCCTATGAAACATCCAAGTAGACTCCCAACCTTAAGGCCCTTCCCATACTGGAGGGATAAAATTACTTTTTGCTTTCTCAGTGACTCTGTCATTTGTCTTTCTGGAATGTTCAGCTCTCTGTCCACACCAGGGAAGAAGTTCAATGATCCCAATCATTCTATAGGTGAGCGTTAACACCTTCCCCACCCCTCCACCCCTGTTACAGCATGGGAGTGGCTGTATGTGCATGCAGGTAGGTATGCAGGCTAGAGGTCAACCTGAGGTGTCCTTCCTCAGGAGCTATGCCCTCTGTTGTATTTTTAGGATAGGCCTCTCAGTAGGACCTGAGACATGATAATGAGGCTAGGTTGGTTGACCAGTAAGCCCCAGGAGTCCTCCTCATCTCCACCTCCCCATCTGTAGGAATCCAAGCATGTGCTACCGTGTCCAATTTCTTACTGGGGTGTTAAGGAACCAAACACATTTCCTCATGCTTTCATGAAAGCATTTCACCAATTGAGCTATCTCCCGGCCCCTGAGATCTCTTGCCTGTTGATGGATATGACAATATGCATAGGTACTAACCCATTGATATTGGATGTACAGCCAGTAACTGAAAGAATCGGGAGGTTTGCACCTATTTTTGAAAGGAACTCAACCCTTACTATGTTGTCCAATGTGTCTAGCTAGGCCTGGGAGACTGCACAGATACTGTCAGCAACAGACCTTCATAGAAGATAACGGTGGGTTAGCAGCCTAAGAAAGCTATTCTATCCATTGAATGTGGCTGATCAAGAAAGAATTTACTATGGTATACAAATTAATTTTTTCTGGAAAACTGAATATTGGCCCCACAGACAGCCATTTTAATTTCTGGAACATGGGACTACTTCCTCACTGTGGCAAAAGAGTGTAAGAATTGTTCTGCATTTTCTGGTTGGGACCTAACACAGTAAAAGGTGCCTTTTTTCTTTTTCTCTTTTTTTTTTTTATAAATTTTTATTTAAATGAGAAACAATCTTATTTTATATACCAATCCCAGTTCCCTTTCATTCCCATCTCCCTACTCCCACCAATAACTCCCCATCCCACTCCCCAGGGAGGGTGAGGCCTCCACGGGGTATCATCGACGTCTGTCATTTGGGGCAGAGCCTAGCCCTCCCCCATGTGTCTAGGCTGGGAGAGAATCCTTCCATGGGGAATGGGCTTCCAAAATCCATTCATACACTAGAGATAAATACTGGTTCCACAGCCAGAGGCCCCATAGACCGCCCAGGCCTCCTAACTGACACCCACGTTCAGGGCCCTGGTTTGGTCCTATGCTGGTTCCCCAACTGTCAGTCTGGGATCTATGAGCTCCCACTTGCTCACATCAGCTGTTTCTGTAGGTTTCCCCAGCATGGTCTTGACCCCTTTGCTCATCACTCCTCCCTCTATACATCTGGATTCCAGGAGTTCGGCTCAATGAGGATAGCATTTAAGGTAGTCATCAATCTCACTATAGGTGAAGGGCTTTTAAGGTAGCCTCTCCACTATTGCTTAGATTCTTAGTTGGGGTCATCCTTGTGGATCCTTGGACATTTCTCTAATGTCCTATTTCTTTTTAAACCTACAATGGCTCTCTCTATTAAGGTATCTCTTTTCTTGCTCTTCTCTATTCCCCCGACTCAATCTTCCTGATCCCTTATGTTCTCCTCCCCTCTCCCTTTTAAGAGAGAGAGAGAGGCTGAGGTGGATTTGGCTGCAGGGAGTCTTGAGGTGACATGATGAAGGATGCAGAGACTGGATGGAGATGCTTTGAAGATAGAGAAAAGAGCCAGGCTTGAGGAATCCAGAAGATAGAAACTGAAAAGTACAAGGAAATAGATTCCTTTAGAGGTTCCAGAATTGTAAGAGAAGAAATATGTTGTTAACCCACGAGTTTGTGACAATGCATTACAGTGTCCTTGAGAAATTAATACAAGAAGTAAAATTGTAGGTTTTTAAAGATCTGCATATTAATCGTTAAATTTTAGCAAAAAATTCTATCTTTTAAATCTACCTAACTATGTTTATAACTTGAGTTTTCACTTATTTAATTTTTTTAGACTATCATTCTATATTCCTGGAATTTGCATAGAATGAACAGCAACTGTCTATATGGGATCACCATTCAGTCACACACTAGTGTCATCATTTTGGGTAATTCTCCAGTTAACCTGTGATTCCAACATGCATTTGAATGCCTGTCAATTCATAAATGCATCACACTTTGAATGTATTTAACTTATCTTAAGGGTCTATTTTAAGTGATTTGTTACTTACTTGATCTCATTTTGTTGGCATATTTTTATAGTGTTATTAGAAAAGAAATTGAGCCTTGAAAGAATTTATATTAACTGTTCCTTAAAATAATGGTTTGAAGTTTACAAATCCCTTTTGCTGACAGGATATCTCCTCCCCCTTTCTGTGTACTCATGAGGGCACCATATGCTTGGTCATTTATCAAAGCTTTTGTTGCAAATGAAGTTAATTAGT